CTGCAGCCCACATAGAGAGCATGCAGCTGGGGCCTCGGTGGAGGCTGGTACCTGAGACATCGAGGAGGCAGGGCTGGGACTGGTCACAGCTCCCAGCCTTGAGGAGGAGAATGAGAAAGAAGTTCCAAGGGGGCCCAGCACTGTGGGGTTTCTCTTTGCCCCAGGTGAACACGCACAAAGACAGCGCCTTGACATTCCTCAGCCAGGGCCTGGAGTACGCCAAGAATCCACGGGCTTCTCTCCGGAAATCCTCAGTCATCTTCATAGGTAACCTGCTCTGGCCTCTCCGGTCTTGCCTCCAGGGCCCTGACTGCTCTTCCGGCTGGCTCCCTGCTGCCGACCCTCCTGGCCTGGCAGATGCTTCCCTGGGGGCTGAGGCTCGACCGGCAGCCAGCCCAAGAGCACACTAGAATGTCTTCCCTTCTCTGGAAGTGGGCTGTTGGTAGGATTCAGGCCGCATCCTGGCAGGTGTCCACAGCTCAACTGCCCCTTCCCTAGAGCACCTATGACATATGTCCGGGCCCAGAAGGAGCCAGGACAAAGCCCCTCAGAGCATAGAATGGGGGCCATATGGCAGGGCAGAGAACCAAGTACAATCTCAGCTCTGTGACCCCCTTTCTGTGTGACTCCAACTGGACCTCAGTTTCCTCGTGTGCAAGATGGGAATCAATTCCTATTTCATACACCAAGTTGAGAATTTTTTATTTTTTTTTATGTGTTTGGTACAGTGTCTCACTATGTAGGTTGGACTCATAGTGATCCTCCTGTTTTCAGCCTCCCCAGTGCTGGGATTACAGGCGTGTACCCCACGCCCAGACTCATTTGAGGCTCAGCGCACCCAGGGCTGGCGCCAGTGTGGCATGCCGTACCAGGGATCAAACCCTGGTCTCTGTGCTTGTCAAAGCAGGCATTTATTCCTCTGAGCCATCTCTCTGGCCCAAGTTGAGAATATTGTTTTCTCAAGATTTTAGATTTAAAAAAAAAGATTTTAGATTTAAGTTTACAGTAGCTAATGATTACATTCATCATGGGGAAGAATACATGAATATAACACATCTTAATTCTTTTTATATCGCTCTCTCCTCCTGAGAATATTTTTAAAATGTGAAGTCCTTGGCATGTCAAGGTGCTCAGTGTTGGTCACCTTCATCATTTTCTTTCCCACAATCACATTCTCTCCCTGTTTAGGAAAAACAACAGCAAAAACCCCAAATAGCCAATAAAAATAAAAATAAAAACACCCAAACAGCTGGGTATGGTGGCACCTCCCGCTAATCCTAGCACTCAGGAGGCTGAGGCAGGAGGATTGCTGCAAGTTCAAGGCCAGTATGTGCTACATAGTGAGACCATACCTCAGAAAGAAAACCAAAAATTAGCAGCGCCTTGGCCCTGAATCCCACAGGACACTTCTGATTGCAGGCTGGTTATGCCTTCTCTTTTCTATGCTCCCTGCTCCCAATTAGCATCCTCCTATGCATGCTGGGAAACTGCCCTACCACTAAGCTACAACCCCACCCCAACCACATTCCCTTCCCCAAGGCGAGGAGACCTTACTGCACACAGGCTAGACATGACTGTCTCTTCCAGTGCTCTCCTCCAGTTTGCTTGCTGCTTGCTGTTCACCCGCCCACCCATTCACTGATCGATACAACACTCTGTCAGGCTAGAAACAGGAAGAGCCCTTGCGGAAATGTTGATTTAAGGGGTGGTTTGGGGTGAGGGCTGAAGTGGCTGTGAACACGACCCCTCCTTGGACAGAAAGGCATCTCCAGAATATGGGGGCTTCTCAGAGGAAGCTTCTTCCAGTGAGGGACATCTTCTTCACTGCTTCTTCCCCCCACTAACCACTCCTAAGAATGCCAGAGTTGAACATACTGTACAGGGCCTGGCTGTGAGTGGGGCCTGGTGCAAGCTGCAGGCAGCTCCCACTGCCATGCCTCTTTCTGTGTAGCCTTTTTTGATTTTGATTTTTCTTTTTAATTTTGATTATTTTTTAATGTATTTGGTATAGGGTCTCAATACACAGCTTAGACTCATAATGATCCTCCTATTTTCAGCTTCCCCAGGGCTGGATTATAGGCGTGTGCCACCTGTGTAGCCTCTTTTGGGTCACAGATCTTTTGTGAGGGTTGACAAAAGTTGAGAACACTTTCCTTGGAAAAATGCACATATGTGTGCGTTAATTTTAGGATCCTTAGAAACTTGCTCTCCCACTTTCACCCCCTCAAGGAGATCTAGCATTTAAAAGCTTCTGGTCTGATAGGAGGTAAGGATTCATAAATCACAAATATAACCCTGCATATTCACAAGAGGGTTCACGTCATCTGGGAACCTGGATGGGTATCTCACCTAGCTGAGGCTGGTGAGGAAGGACTTTGTGTGGGAGCCATCTACTAAGAGGTATACGAAAGACAAACAGGGATGTACCCAAAGAGACCCATGGAAGGGCCTTTCGAGAGGGGCCAGGTACAGCCCACCTGTGGGCTGCAGGCACCGTGGGAGCCAGGGCCCAGGCTGGGAGCAGGTCCCTGACACACGCGGCTGGCCCAGCACTGCCAGGGCTCACTAGCAGCCAGACTCCCTGGGGACCTGGGCAGCAGAGAGGCTCTTCCCACGTCACAGATGAGGAAAGCAGCGCCTGGCCCAGGGTGGCACCCCTGAGTCAGCTGTGCCCTGGTGTTGTCCCTCTCTCAGGATCTCCTTGGGGAACTTGCCTCCGAGGTCCAAATGAAGTTCCCCTCTGTGTTGTCCTGCAGGGCTGGAGGAGGGCAGGGACAGCTTCTCTGATAGGAGAGTGGGGTGGGTGGGATGAAGGCAGGAGCCTCGAATCCTCACCTTCTGGGTTATGCTCAGGGTTCCTGGTGCCCTGCATGGAGAACATAATGACAGAAGAGTGGCGGAATGAAGTGAAAGCTGGTGAGTCGCGGGCCCCGGGGTGGGGGGATTTCTGGGGCAGGGAGCCTGTATGTGCATTGTAGTGGATGTTGGGAAGGGAGGGGACATGACCCAAGAGGAGGTCTCAAGCCTTTGGGGGTGAGGACAGTGTGAGAGGTACCATGGGGTGACCAAGGTGACAGTAGGTCCACAACTCGTCTTTGGGAGCTGACAGTGCCATCAAAGGCCAGCTTGGACTACATAGTTTAAGGATACCCTGAACTGCCTAGTGAGACATAGTTTCATAAAACCAATAGCCCCTCTAAAAAACAAAAAAACCAAGGCCAGAAGCTATGTAGTACAGGGTAAATAGATTAGGCTTTTTATTTGTTGGAGATAGGGTCTCATGTTGTAGTACAGGCTGATCTTAAACTCACTACATAGCCCAGGCTCGCCTACTTACTGTGGCCAGCACACTGGCAAGTAGCTTAGGCTTTCCAGAGGACACAGTTTACTTTGCAGTGGGGGAAGCAGGTGGGAGCATGATGTTAGGCAGAGGCAAGTCAGGGAGGCTTCCTAGAGGAGGCAGGGCTGAAAGATGTAAACAAAGGGCTGGGGAGATAGCTCGGCGGTATAAGCGCCTGCTTGGCAAGTACAAGGACCCAGGTTCAATCCCCAGTACCACATGCCGTGCTGGCCCTGGAACCCCTGGTGTGCTGCGCTGGTCCCCAAACTGGGTGTGGTGGCCAAGTGCTGTGAAGGCTGAGGTAGGAAGGTCACTATGAATCTGAGATGTGAAGTGACACCCTGTGTCTAAATATATATATAAAAGATGTAAATAAAAGGCCGGGAAGAAAGTGAGCTGGGGGATGCTGACGGGGGCATGCAAGCCAAGGCGTGCAAGTGCGAGCTTCACAAGTGGCCTCTCTCCCCCATGATGCAGCTCTGGAAGACCTGAGACGTGACCCAGAGGCATTTGTGTGCATCTATGCGGCACAGGCCCAGGCCCACATCCTAGCCAGCTGCCAGCAGAACTCCTGGCTGCTGCCACGTGGGGACTCACTGGTACGTGGCCCGGCCACCTCGCACTGCTGGAGCCCCAGCTTTGAGGACAAGCCCACCTCCCACAAGCGGCGCTTCTGGATCTCGCAAGCCCTGGACTCCTGGAAAATGGCCTTAAAGCAGTGACAGCCAGCCCCGGGCTTCTGACTCACTGTAAAGACCCCGTGTGGGTGTTCTGAGCACTTCCTCTGGGGATGGGCAGAGGTCTGTGCAGACACACTGTGTGCCCCAAGCTGAGAGGGGAACGTGGTTTCCCTTGTTGACTACACTGGAGTTGACTGAGGTGAACAGGCTGCTTTTGTCTACTTTGTGTAACTGGAGACGCCACGGCTCTGAGAGGTGAAGTGGCTTGCCCAAGATCACACAGCCAGTCTGCGGACATCTCAGTTTGCCTCTTTCCACAAGAGCAGAAGGAGGTGGTGATTTGGACATCCCTTGGGGAAAGGAGAGGGACACCAAGCCTCCTCCCTCCTCAGTAGGTCCCATATGTCCCAGAACCCTGATGTGTGAGCCCTACCCATTGGCCTTTGCCCGGAGATGGAGCACTACTGATGTAGCAGTAATTGGTGAGCTCCTAACCTAGCCAGGAGTGCTCTGGGTGCCAGGGATACAGACCCAAACAGGATCCAGCCCAGGCTCTTGCTTCCCTTTGAGGGTGGCGATGTTATTAACATCTACTCCACAGAGGCCTGGGAGGCCAGTAAACACCCTACATGCCAGGACCACCTGGCAGCAGATCGTGGGTGCTCTGCCCACGTTGTCAGAAGAGCTACAGCTGAGTTTTGGCTTAATGGAAGTATCAGGGACATTAAAGACACGAAAGGCATGGATGGCAGGGAGCCAGGGCACTGTGGGATCCACAGGAGATGTGTAGGCCAGCCGGGTTGTCACTGTTTCGGAGAACACTGCTCAGAGAACAGACCCACAGGAACCTGGAAAGGTGAGCATATGCCGGGCTTGTGCGGGGCCTCGGGCCAGCCACAGATCTGCAAGACCATAGTATGGTGAGCGGGGTAGGAGGGGAGGGAGATTTTACCCAAGGAGCACAGGAAGGCACTGTGGGATGCTAAGCAGGGGGCAGATGCGGGCAGATGTTGGTTTTTGGAAGCTCCATCCTCAGCTGGGTATGATAGTACACACTTGTTATCCCAGCACTTGAGGGGCTGAGGCAGCAGGATCACAAGATCAAGGCCAGCCCAAGCTACAGAGTTCAGTGCTGGTTGGGACTGCATAGCAAGACCCTATCTTAAAAAAGAAAGCAGAGCATGTCATGTGGTTTTTCGAGGAATCAGTTCTCTGCAGGGCTACCTTCCTTAGAAGGACACAATAGCCCTTCAGCATTGCCAGTGGGAGGGTAGATTGGTGCAGCTATCCTGGACAAGATTTTGTCACCGTTGAGTTGCAGTAACTTTATCCATGGCTGTGACCTAGCAGTTCCACCAGCAGGCACACATTTCGAGGGACTCTTCCCACAGAGCCCCAGTGAGAAATGTGCTCGGACTTCCACTGCAGTGCTATCTGTCACACAGGGAGAGGGGGAGGCAGCCTGGTACTGTCCTTTGGGACAGAATGAGCTCCGTGGAGTCCCATATGCAGTCAGAGACATTGAGAGCCCACCCTCCCAGGGAAGGGGTACTGCAAACCTAGTGCTGAGTGAGAAAAATAAATTTCAAAAATGTATGCACAAGCTGGTGGCACATGCTGCAAAGCTGAAGTGGAAGGATTTCAAGTTCAAGTCCCACCTGGCAACTTAGAGAAACCCTGCCTCAACACAAAACATTTAAAAAGGGCAACAGATATTGTGTAGTTCAAAAGCCCTGGGTTCAATCCCCAGTACTAGAAACTTTTTCTTAACAAGTGACTCAGATTAATGAATGGCATAAACGAATTGCTTACATTAATCTTTATAAAAGAGACTCCAGAGAGCTCCCTCATCCCTTCTGCCTTGGGTGGACGCAGTGAAAAGATGGCATTTGTGAAGCAGGAAGCTCTCCGTCACATCTGCCTGTGCCTTGACTTTGGATTTTCTAGACTCCAACCAGGGCAAGATCAGTATCGTTCCTACGCCCCGAGTCCATGGTGCTCTGTTACAGCTGCCTGGGTAGACTAAGACAGCTGCACGGCATGGAGCTCAGCAGAGAGGTCAGAGGTGGAAACATGTGGGGTTCAGCTCTGGAGAGGGGGTGCGGTGAGACTCCCTTGAGAGACATGAGCCCCAGGGACACCTAGTCTAAGCTTGCTCTGAGGACAAGGCACCTATGAAGTTCCCGCACAGTCGTCCTCTGGTGGGCAAGGATCTGCACAACCAGTCATCTTCATTGCCCACAATGTTCACAGACTGCCTCGCTGAGCCTCCCCGTAGGCCCTGTGGATGGCTCAGAAGGCAGGCCAGCTTCCTTGCCTACGCCTCACTGAAGCTGACTCAGCCTCACACAGCTTCAGGGGTGCTGGGCTCAAGGTCACACAAGGGAACTAGTAAAGATGTGGTCCTCAAGGGTGTCCCAATCCTCAGGCTTTCTTTCTAGCCAGACATACTGCTGCATTCACTGGCCAGAGACAGTGGCCTTGGAGCAGAGGTTGATTATTCAGTCAGATACTGTCTAAGATCTATAGGTATGGAAGGCCCAAGAGCACTGGCTATTAGGGTAAACCAAGGTATAACTGAGACCACCAAACCAGGTAGAGTTTAAGCAACATGTGAGGGTTTATTGCAGACCAGGAATGACTGCAGTAAAGACCACTGGTCCTGAGCAAGGGGAGAAAGAATGTTTTATATGGGAGTTTAGGTAGGGGAGGGGGCATTTTTGAGGGGCACAAAATTTGGAGTTTTAGGGGGTCTGGGGCTGGCTGATAGGGTGCTGTGGGTATGCGGGGTGCTGGCAAGCACAGCGTATCTCGTTTTTTGAGGAATCGGCTCTCTGCAGGTTGAGAGGGAAGCTCAGGGAAGCTGCTAGCTTCCTGTTAACGCTGCATCTACAGGTGTAAAATCTGCTTGGGGAGTTTTTCTCTTCTGGTCAGGCAAGGCTTTGATCTGAAAACCTGACACTGGGCAAATCATTTCCTGTCTCTGAGCCTACCCTAGTGGTATCTATAAAATAAGTTCTTACCTCACAGGGTACCTATAGGAATCAAATTAAAAACTGGAAGCTGCTATGGCTGAACATGGTTTGTCTCCGTCCTGATTCACCTTGTAGATTTGTTTTCAATGTAGTGGTGCTGGGAGGTGGGGCTCAGCCAGAGGTGTGTGGGCCTGGGAGCAGTGCCTTTCCGGCTCCCACAGGGGTGGGTTAGGGGGCTCTTACACAGCGAGTCCGTGCTAGCACTCAATCTGGGGTCTCTCTCGCCCATCCCGATTTGCCCATCTTTTCTGCCATGATGGCCATCTCCAGAAGCTAAAATGCCAGCCAGTGCCATGCGGTTTGGACTTGCCAGACACCAGAACCATGAACCAAAATAAACCCCTTTCCTTGTAAATTTCCCAGCCTCAGGCACACTGGTATTCTACAGAAAACTGTAAAACAGAAGCAAAAGCATTTTATAGGCTCTGTATTTAAAGAGGGAACAGAAGATGAGAACAGAAGGGAACCAGGGTGAGGGAGCAGGGGTGAAGGCGGAAATGTGCCAGAGGCCTGGAGGGAAGGAGCACTTGGACCTCACGTTCTCCTGGATGCCAGAATTAGAAGGGAGACAGTCCTGGCCCTGGAAGGCTCACACTCATCTCCACGTCCTCCTCAGCCCTGCTCTCTCCTTCATCCCTGTACCAAATGATGACCAGGCTGCCTGCCAGTGCTGCTGTTGACTGCAGCCTCCTCATAGTTGGCTTCTCCTCTGCAGCCTCCCCACCAGTCCTTCACCTGGCAGCCAGGCTTCTCAGAACAAAATGGCTCATGACCCTCTTTTGTCGTTTCAGTGGTTCCCTCTGCTTTCTCTGAGCAAGAAGGCAGTCAGGCCCTTTGGGGCTACCCACTTTGATGGCCTCACCTTTTAGGACACTGGTGCCTAGCCTGTGAGGCTTTCAAACACTTCCATGCCTCTCAGTACATCAGCTTCCCAGTTTTCCTCCTGGGCACGGAGCCTTTCTCTTCGTCACCGCCTACTACACATTGGACCCAGCCTCTGGGCCTCCACTGTGCAGACCTGTGACCCAGCACTAGTGTAGGCCGGCTGCTTCTCAGTCCAGACCAGGCTAGGAGCACTCCAAAGCTAAAGCATCTGCTTAGGGCCCTGTAGTCATTTGCTGGGTGACCAGGAGGTTGCAGAAAGCCAAGCAGGCTTGCTGCAGGTGGGCTGGCGATCCTGTGGGTGAGGCCGGAGTTAAACTCAGAAAAAGATGCATGTGGCCAGTCACACCTTCCCTGGGGACTCTCCACAAGCTGGTATGGTGGTGCACTCCTGTAACTCAGCATTCTGGGAGGGGATGACTGGAGAACTGGAAGTTTGAAACCAGCCCAGGCAGCTTGATGATGACTTTGTGAGACCCTGACCAAAAAAAAAAGAGAAAGAAAGAAAGGGCTGGAGATATATCTTAAGAAGAACCTGGACTTAATCTCTGTTACCATAACACCCCCCTCACCCTCTCCACCCCACCCCCGACTCAACACCGCCACAAGATTGCACGCTAGAGGAAAAGCCGAATCCTCCCGCCCCAGCTACCATGGCATCCCTGCCCTCCTCCAAGCAAGAATCTGAGTCGCTCCACGCCCGCGCCCAGCACAGGTAGGAAGGAGAAGCTCTGTAAATAGTGCCGACTAGGGCCGGCGGTATAGCTCAGCGGACTAAGTCCTTGTCTAGGTAAGCGCGCTGAGCCAGCGATGGAGTTCGGGCGTGGTGGTGCACGCCTGTCATCTCAGCACTAGGGAGGCAGAAAGCAGGAGGATCACTATCAATCCAAGATGCGTAATGAGACCCTGCACAAAAAAAACCCAAAACCTTAATAGATGAGTGTACGCAGCGATCGCTGGCTCTGCGGAGCCTAGGCTCGCCCACCAGGGGCGGGACCGAGCACAGTCCCGGGCCCCGCAGGCTCGCGGAACCCGAGGCGCGCGGTGCGGCGCTGCCCGGAGCACTGAGGGACGCGCTCCGCGCCGCCGGAAGGAGCCGCGCAGCTTCTGGGCCACCGCGGGCGGGCGACCCGAGAGCGGCCATGGCGGGGTCTCAGCCGGACGCCGCGGACGACAGGGACATGGACGCGTTCCTGGACAAGTTCCGGAGCCAGCCTTACCGCGGCGGCTTCCACGAGGATCAGTGGGAGGAGGTGGGCGATTTCCGGTGTGCGGGCGGCGTCGGTGTCCCGCGCTCACTGGCTGCCCGCGGCAGACGGGTGGTTTCTAGCTGTACCGTAATAGCCGGCAGGGGCCCTTTCACCTTTCTTTCCTTCCTTCTGTCTCTCCTGCTCCCCACGCTTCTCTCTCTGAGGCAAAGTCTCTCTCTGTAGTTCGGGCTGGACTTGAACTCAGCGCTCCTCCAGCCTCAGTCTCCGGAGTGCGGGACGTGCCGCCACGCCAGGCCCTTTCAGCATCTTCAGTTGTCCTATTAAAACCGCAGGGGGTACGGACAGGGCTGTGACTCCGCCACCTGACGCTGGGACGGTTTCTTAACTGCTCTGAGCCCTTTTTTTCATCTGTAAAATCGCTTCACCTATAGCACCAATCATTTAGGAGTTGTGGGGAAAATGAGACGGTGGGCGAGGTGTCAGCAACATAAGAGCGTTCTATTAATAGTGTTTACTACCTCCCTTTGTGGACTGTTCGAAATGAAGAAACAAAAAAAGAAAGAAGGAATAAATGAATAGAGATCATTACCTACCCGACTTTCTCATTTTACAAATAAGCCTATATAAAGCCAATCATGAACCTTTGCAATCATGACAAGTAAGAAACCTTTGATAATGAGTCATGGGGCGATGAATTGTGGAATTAGAACTACTCAGTCGAATATTTATTTCATTATTTTGGGGGCCAGCTCAGCCCTGCCCTGAGAGTGGGGCTGGTGTTGCATGTGGTGCCAGGGATCAAACCATGGCCTGCTGCGCCTGCCTAAACAGGCGCTTTAGACCTCTGAGCTATCTCGCCAGCCCCGAAAATCTTATTTACATAGTTCATTAATTTTTAAAAATCAGTACACGTTTCCAGTACATAATTATTATAATTATATTTGCTCATGTAGATATATATGTATGTATGTTGAGTTTCTCACATGAGAGAAATGTGATACTTAAGCTTGTGTGTCTGGCTTACTTGAGGCTACAGCTGAAAAGGAAGGAAGGAAGAAAGGAAGGAAGGGGCTACAGTCTCAAGTCGGGTCCTTATGTCTACTCATGCCTCAAGCTTCTTTATAGCGGAATAGCACTCCGTTGTGTATAAATACGTTTTCGTTATCCACTTATCTGTTGATGGGCCTGTGGGTCATTTCCAAGATGTAGCTTTTGTATTGTAAGTTTGTGCTGCTATAAACATGAGTGTGTATGTGTTCTCGTAATATGATGTCTTTAACTCATCAGGGAAAACATGTGGGAGTAGCTGGGTCAAGTGGAATTTTTATTTTTTTGAGGAATTGCCATGCTAATGTCCATAGTGGTTGTACTAGTTTACACTCTCACTAGCAGTGTAGAAGAGTTCCTTTTCCCCCCACAGCTTTGCCAACATTTTCTATTTGATGTCTGTCTGCCTGCCTGCCTGCCTTTCTTCCTCCTTCCTTCCTTCCTTCCTTCCTTCTTTCCTTCCTCCCTTCCTGAAAGGCTTATTTAGCTCACAGTTTGTGGAGGTGTCTTTCCATACTTGGCTGGCTCCAAGGCAGAGTAGCTCATGGCGGAGGGCAGCAGTTCATGGCAGTGGAAAACGGCAAAGAACAAAGGGAGGAGCAGTGGCAAGAGAGGCAGAGGCAGAGCCTATTTGATTTCTTTTTTCTTTTTTTTTTTTAATGTATTTAGTACAGGGTCTACAGAGTCTTACTACACAGATCAGACTTGTAGTGCACCTCCTGTTTTCAGCCTTGGAAATGTTGGGATTGCAGGTGTGTGCCACCATGCCCAGTCTCCAGTCCCTGGGGACGGGGCCAGCACTGTACAGCATGCTGGGGATCAAACCCTCGTCCCTGCACCTGCCCAAACAGGCCCTATTTGATTTCTTGATGATAGCCATTATTTTTCTGGAGAAAGATGGAATCTGAATGTTGCTTTAATTTGTGTTTCTCTAAATGGCCAGCAATGTTGAAAAAAAATTTTTTTTTTCATTTTTACTTCTTTTGAAAAGTATATTCATTGTGGTAGCCTGTTTTTTTAATTGGGTCTTTTATTTTTGAGGGTCTTTTTTTTTTTTTTTTTTTTTTTTTTTTTTTTTCTTTTGAGTTCTTTATATATTCTAGATGTTAATCCTTGGTCTGAGGGGTAGCTGCCAAAACTTTTCCCATCTGTAGGTTGTCTTTTCATTCTGTTAGTAGTTTCCTTTGCTGTGTAGAAGCCTTTTAACTTGATACATCTCCTCTCTTGATTCTCATTATTAATTCTTGTGCCATTGGGGTTCTGTTCAGAAAGTTCTTGTCTAAGCCTATGTCTGCAAGAGTTTTACTATTTTCTCTTTCACTTTCTTGATTAGATTATTTCCTATTTTACCTTTCAGCAGGTTAAGTATTTGTTAGCAGTTAGATCTTTGATCTATTTTGGTTCTAGTTTAGTACCTAGTGAGGTACGTGGGTCTAGACTCCATCTTCTGCATAAGAACATCCAGTTTTCCTAGCACTATTTATTAAAGAGGCTATCTTTCCTCCAGCATATGCTTTTAACTCATTTTTCACAAATCAAATAGCTGAACGTGCCTAGCTTGTTTCTGCTGCTTGTGTTCTGTTCATTAATCCATGTGTCTGTTTTTGTGCCAGTACCACGTTGTTTTAATCATGGTAGCTTTGTAGATCTGCAATTACAATGTCTTCTGTTTTGCTTTTGTTACCCAGAATTGCTTCTGCTATTCTAGGTCTCTTCTGGTTTCATACCAATTTTAGGATTGTTTTCTCTAGATCTGTGAGAAAAGCTGTTGATACTTTGATTGAGATTGCATTCAATCTATATATCTGTTGGAAATGGAGCCATTTTTATTCTATTGCTTCTGCTTATCTAGGAATAGGCAATAGCTTTCCACTTTTTTGATGTCCTCCTTGATTTTGTTTTTTAGAGTGATGCAGTTTTTATCATGGAGGTCTTTTACTTTCTTGGTTAAGTTATTTCCTAAGTATTTAATTTTTCTTTTCTTTCTTTCTTTCTTTCTTTCTTTCTTTCTTTCTTTCTTTCTTTCTTTTTTCAGAACCAGGGATTGAACTCAGACCCTTGCGCTTGCCAAGGAAGCACTTATGCTACTGAGCCATCTCCCAGGCCCCAGTATTTAATTTTTCTTGATGCTATTGTGAATGATATTGTTTTCCTAATTTCTTTCTCAGTGAGTATAGGAATGGTACTGATTTTGTGTTTATTTTGTATCCTGCTACATCAGTGAATTTGATTATACAAGGAGTCATTTGGTGGAATTTCTTGGGTTAAGTAGAGGATTATGTCATCTGCAAATAATGATATTTTGACTTTGTCCTTTCCTATATGTATTTCTTTCTTTTGCCTTATTGGTGTGGGTGATGTTTCATCGACTTTGTGTAACAGGGATGGAGACACAGGACATCTCTGTCTTGTTCCTAGTTTTATAGGGAAAGCTTTAAGGTTTTGCCTATTGAATATGATGTTGGCAATAGGTTGATCATAAAGAGCTTTTATCAAGAGTGAGATAAGGTCATTATCTATTTTCTTCAGGGTTTTTGTTATGAATGGATGTTGGATTTTGGCAATGGCTTTTCCTGTGTCTATTGAGATGATCATATGATTATTTTATTGAGAAACAGATATCAATGAGACAGTTTCAAAACTGATTAATAGGACAGTTTCAATAATTAATACATTATACATTGTTATCTTCTTAGTGGTTATCCATGGTACAAGATGCAGACAGAATATCCTGTCCAAACACTGTTAGTACAAATCTTTCTTCTCATTGAATTAAATGAGAGTAGCTGTATATCTATCCTCACTGTTTTGCATATACAGATACAAAATGGTCCTTTGTATTGCCTTTTTTTGTTTAGTCCTGTCAGAAATGGGTACTACATTGTCATCTAAATACTATAGGTGCGTGAATTCAGCAAAACAATCCAACACAGTCCAGCAGTCCACGGTAGTAGTGGGTTATCCACAGAAGTTGTTGACTTGAGCCTTTCACAGCTCAGCATATTAATCTGGCTTTACTTTATATAATCATGTGATTTTTTTTTTTTTTTTTTAACCAGGGATTGAACTCAGGACCTCGCACTTGCCAGGAAAGCGCTTATTCCACTGAGCCATCTCCCCAGCCCCTATCTTTCTAATATGGTCATTCAAAGCTAGCATAAGACTGCTTTCCTTATGTCCCTTAAGTTTTGATGTATTGTGCTGGCATTATCATTTAATTCTAGGAACTGTCTTATTTCTTCATTAATTTTTGTAACCCATTGATTATGCAAGAGTGTGTTGTTTATTTGCATGTTTGCATAGTTTCTGTAGTTTTTGTTTTATTTTTCTTTTCTTTTTTTTTGTTTAGTACAGGGTCTACAGGGTCTCACTACATAGATTGGACTCAGTGATTCTCCTGTTTTCAGCCTCCCAAGTGCTGGGCTTACAGGTGTGTGCCACCACACCCAGTCTCAGTTGCCATCTCAGTGTGCCACAGGGGCGAGGCCGGCATGGCATGCTGGGGATTGAACCCTGACTGTTGCGCTCTGCCTAAACAGGTGCTTTAGTCTGCTGAGCTATCTGGCTGGCCTTGTAGTTTTTATTGTTATTGCTTCCTAGTTTCATTGTACTGTGATCTGATAATATGCCTAGTAAATTTTTATTCTTTTGTATTTACTTAGGCATGCTTTGTTACCTAGTATTGAAAGTACCATGTACTGCTGACAAGAATATGTGTTGTCAGTGAGTGCAACACTGAATATATCTATTAAGTACATTTGTTCAAAAGTTTGATTTAACTTTGATATTTCTTTGTTGATTTTTGTTTTGTTTTGTTTAGTTGATCTGTTCATAGTAGATCGATTTGTGGTAAACCTATTTGTGGTAGATCTATGTGTGGTATTGAGGTCCTCAATTATAATTATATTGATGTTTATCTGCTCTTGTATGTCCATTAAAGTTTTATAAAATGGAGGGCACTGTAGTTTGGTGCATATGTTTATAATTGTTATCTTTTTCTGTTAAATAGTTCCATTAATCGGTACTTAGTGTCCTTCTAGCACTTACTCCACTGAGTTATCCCCTCAGCACGCTCTTGTGCGCACTCTCTCCCTCCCCCCCTTCTCTCCTCCCTCCCTCCTGTGTCTCCCCCCCACCCCTTTTATGGTAGTGGAGATCAAATTCAGGACCTTGCACTTGTCAGACAAGTGCTTATGCCCCTGAGCTATCTCCCCAGACCTCTCCTTTAAAGTCCACTTTAAACAGCATAAATACTTTTGCTTGTTTTGGGGCTCCCATTGCATGGAGCACTATTTTATCATCATTTGATTTTTAGTCTACAAATTTTTGGGGGGGTTAAATGAGTTTCCTGTATATAGCATACCATTGTGTGCATTCTGCTAATCTGTGTCTTTTGTTTTATTTATTTATTTATTTATTTATTTTGTGTGTGTGGCCAGCTCAGCCCACCAGGGGGCGGGGCTGGCTGGCATGTGGTGCTGGAGGATTGAACCGGATCCCTGTGCTTTGCTTAGCTTAGCTTGTTCTAAGTAGGTGCTGTAGACCACTGAGCCATCTCACCAGCCCCTGATCTGTGTCTTTTGATTAGTGAATTGAGACCACATTAATAGTTACAACTGATAGGTATTGACTTATTCCTATCATTGCATTATTTTCCTGTTACTGTTTTCTTTCCCTTCTACTTAATTGCTCATCCTACTTGGTGCATTCACTCTATTGGATGTTTTGGCTTGTCAGCTTCATTGTGTCTTTCTAGAACAGTGGTAGTGAATGTAGCACTTGTGTGTTGTAGTGGGCTGTTTGTATTTGAAAGGTTCACCACCATTGTTCTAGGATATCTTTGAAAAATTTTGGAGAAAATTTTTTGGAGTGTTGGTTTGGTGGTCATGAATTTGTTCAGGTGCTTTTTATCATGGAAATTTTCTTTTCTTTTCTTTCTTTCATAGTACTAGAGATTGAACTGAGGACCTTGTACTTGCCAGACAAGTGTTTATGCCACTGAGCTATCTCCTTAGCCCTCTCCATCAATTTTAAAATTCTGCAGGATATGTCGTTCTGAATGGGAAGCTGTTTTCTTTTAGGGCTTAAAACACTTCATTCTGAGCTCTCCTTACCGTTAAGATTTGTGTTGAGAAGTCTGCTGTAATTCTGATGGGTTTTCCTTTATAAGTGATAAGTTGCTTGTGAATCTGTCTTTGTGTTGGAGTTCTGCTTTTTTAATTAGGATGTGGCACAAATTTTTTTTTTTTTTCCTAATCATGACTATTCAGGATTCTCAGTTCATTCTTTTACAATCCAGGAATTTGACAAGATTCCCTTATTTATGAAGAAAGCACCATCAGAAGTTGATCCCAAGGAGAATCCTGACTTGGCTTGTCTCCAGTCAATTATTTTTGATGAGGAGCGATCTCCAGAAGGTATCTAACATGACTGACATTTGCTCTGTGTTGCCGTTGGCTAGAGATAAATTGTGTGTTAGAAAGGTTGACTTGGGGCTGGCTTGTCACCATTCCCTTTGTATACACTTGTTTGGGTCCATCCTTGCTACTGCTAGTAGGCATGAGGATAAATAAGACATAGTTCCTGGCCCAGTAAGAAGCTAAATTGTCCTAAATAAATTGGTCAGAACGTGAGTGACGACTGCCCGCAATACACTGTAGCTGTAGTGGATGCTATTGGAATACTGAAAGGGCAGATGTGGATTCTCATGTCAGGAATAAGCATAAATAAAAGCAGAAGTATCATTTCTTTAGCAATTAAAGTCTGTTTTTCTTTTCTTTCTTTTTTTTTTTTAAAAGTCTGTTTTTCAAAAGCTATGATAAGTATACTTTTATGTTTCTGTTTAATAAGTAGTAATATGTCTTGTTTGATATTTTTAGTTGAGGGCTGAGGAGATAGCTCAGTGGCTTAAGTTCCTGCCTGGCAAGCACATGGTCCTGAGTTTGATCCCTGCTACTGAAAAAAAAAGGATATTTGTAGTTGACTGTATAGCATTAAGTTTCACAGTATTGATTTTCCATATTCATACCCACTTTTATTGTTGCACTGATTTAAAATTTTCCCTTTTCCTGTTGGTGTCTTCTTTTTGGTTTGTCATATATTACATTATGGGATGATTTAGAATATTTCAATTGAACTTTCTAAAATGTAGGAGGTAATGACTATTACTCTTCTTTTTGCCAGAGCAAGCCAAAACCTATAAAGATGAGGGCAATGACTACTTTAAAGAAAAAGACTACAAGAAAGCTGTGATTTCATACACTGAAGGACTGAAGAAGAAATGTGTAGATCCTGATTTGAATGCTGTCCTTTATACCAACCGAGCAGCGGCACAGTACTATCTGGGTAACTTATTTCATTATTCAGTGCTTTATAAAGAATTAACTTACTATAAAAGCCAATATAATGGCTAGTGGAGTGATTAAGAGCTATCCAGGGGCTGTTCTTCTCAGAAATTCAGTCTGAGGATAGTTTACGCTACTGAATTCTGATCTTCAGGTAGACATGAAAAGGAAGCACAGTGGATTGTGTAATTTTTACCTCAGAAATGAGGATTAGTCACTCTGGTAAGATACGTGATATATGAGTCAGTATAATCTAGGACTTTTGAACCCAAATGTTCTATTCTTTCAAAAAATAATTTGTGCCAAGCATATTGACACACGTCTATAATCCCAGCACTCAAGTTTGAGGCCAACCTGGGCTACAAAGTGAGTTCAAGGCCAGCCTGAACTACATAGACCCTGCCTCAAAAGACCAAAAAAAAAAAAAAGTTTTATGTTGTTGTTTATTTCTGCCCTTTTTCTTCTCATGCTAGAAGGACTAAGGCAGTAGAGATATTAAGTGAGTATAAGGGGAATTGCTCAGAGTATTTTGTGCAACTCTTGAAGTAAAAACTACTTCTCAGAGAAAGTTTGGGAAATGCTGCTTCTTGTGCAAGATGAGATTTAACATATTGAAGACAGTGAGATAAAGAACAACCAAGGATTTTGCCCTGGTGGTTTCGTTGAGCCTTCTCTAGGTATCACAAACACTCACGCCTAACTTTGGGGAAAGCTGATTGCCTGAGTGATAGTAGATAGTATTGCTGGTGACGCCCCTGGCTGGGCTTAGATAGTTGTTTCTCACCCCAGAGATTAGAGAGCACTGAGTAACCTCTTTTCCTCCCTTACATCGCAGGCAGGCTCCCATCCCTGGGGCCAGTGTGTGCAGCACACCATTTCCAGGCCACCCTACCCTCTTACACACGCAGTTTTGAGGGGCCAGCAGAGAGCAGGTGCTGCAGTCTAGCTGGAGAGTCGTCACCATTCACGCAGAGACCCCCATAGCCAGGTCTACTTGGAGTGCTCTCTCATCTTGTTTCAACAGAAAAAATTTAGTCTTTAAAATAATTTTTTTTTAAGTACTAGGGATCTTTCGAGACCCTTGCGCTTACTTTGGGACCTTGTGCTTACCAGGCAGGCGCTTGTGCTGCTGAGCTATATCCCTGGCACTAAAAGTCTTCAGTGGTGCAGGAACTTAGACTTTTTTTTGCCACAAGACCCCTAATTTTACATAAGCCCAGAAGAGACCTTTTGTTTAATGACAGAACCTGGATTAGAAACTTTATATTGTAACTTGTAGAGAAATATATTTCCTTCATTCACCAGACAAATTTGAGTTCTTTTTCTAGGCTAGACATGTGTTCATAGAGATGAGTAGGGCCTGACTTTCCTAAAGTCTTTCTTTCACTTATTGTCTTAGTTACCTTCCTCTTGTTGCTGACACAAAAGACCAGACACTCAAAATTAAGGGAGGAAAGGTTTATTTAGCTTGTGGTTTGTGAAGGTTTCAGCCCACAGTCAGATGGCTCCTAGGCTGGGTGGCCTGACACGGACAACAGGTCCAGGTAGCAGAAGACAGCAAAAGCAGCAAAAGCAAACAGGAGGAGCAAGCCTCTTCTCTCCCTTACATTGTAAGTGAGCTACCGCCTCCTATGGCCAGTGTGAGTAGCACTTACACCATCTCTGTGCCATCTTTTTGCACAGGATAATGATGTTTCTAAAGTGAGGACCCTGGCCCCCTGCTAAGTTCCTTACACTTCTAAACAGTGTATCAACCGTTACACTTATTTATTCAATAAGTGCATGTTAAACATTTACTATATTATAAGTATTGCATTGTGAGTAAGAGCTAGATAGTCCTCTGTCTGTGAGCAACTTAAAGGATGCAGTGTATAGGACCAATAAGATCAAAAGTATCTTAGAAGAAAAAAAGCATGCAAGATACTAAAAGAGTAGATATGTAATAATAAAAACCATTTCTTAAATGATAAGCCACCGGTTCACTTGCACCTGGCCTCATAGCAACCAGTGGGGTAGGTGAGGTTACCAGCGTTGTCCCTACAGATTAAGAAATGGGAGTGAATGGACTGGTGATGTAGCTCAGTAGTAGAGCATTTGCTTTGCATCTATTAGGCCCTGGGTTTGATTCCCAGCACTGTAAAAAGCAAGCAAACAAAACACTCAAACAACAAAAACTAGTAAAAAGAAGTGAGTATGGTACAGTGAATTGCCTTAGGGTACCCAGGGCTGGGATTAGGATATATAAAGTCAGATTAGATGTCAAGTGCAATAAGAAGACAGGTACACTAAGAAGACACAGTTCAGAGCACACCTAGGGAAGCACTGGCTGCATCAGCTTAGACTTTGGAAGAAAGTGCCGTCCATAATGCATAAAGGAGAGCAGGTGTTAATAAATTAGCAGCAGGAGGCAAGGACATTGCAGGAGCTGGAAGGCAAGAGCAACTCCAAAGTGTGAGACAACACAGGTGAAGGGCTGGGGACTTGGCCTGGAGACTGGCTGTCACAGTGAGGACCTCCAGCTTGGCCCAGTTGTCTGAGAACAGCACTGAAGGCTGAGACAGTCAGGGCTGCACCTGCAATTCTGCACATCTGCAGGGGCCCAGAGGATGGGTTGGAGGGGAGCACTTTGAGGAAGGCCATGGCCGTGAGGGGGAAGAACAGAACCTGGATTCAGGCGAAATTAATTGAGTCAAAGCAGTTTGACTTGTGGACATAGGGAGAAATTGGGGTTGAGCTCTTGGCTTCTGGGGGAAGATGCTATTACCACTTGAAATGGTTGTCTAAAGAAGGGGGAAGAATAAATCTCCAAATGTGAAAAAAAAGGTGGGGGGAGCAGATGTTAAAAGTCGGGGATGCTGAGGCTGGTGAGATGGCTCAGTGGTCTAAAGCACCTACTTAGAACAAGCTTAGCAAAGCACAGGGACCGCGGTTCAATTCCCCAGCACCACATGCCAGCCAGCCCCACCCCCTGGTGGGCTGAGCTGGCCACACACACACACACACACACATACACACAAATAAATAAAATTAAAAAAAAAAAAGTCGGGGATGCTGATGAGGGATACTAAGTTCACTTGGGACATCTCTCTTTGAGGGACATGTTAGATATCCAGGTGGAGAAAATCTAGAAAGAGATTACATAGATCAGGATGAAACCTGGGGAAAATGCTCCGGATGGAAATCTGTGTTCATGGTCTTCAGCGTGAGATGAGGCACGTAAAGGCTGCAGTGGACAGAGATCACCAGGGGAGGTGTGCAGAAAGAGCAAGTGGCCTTGCAGAGGGAAGAGCTGGAGGAGCCAGAGGCGGGGCCTGGTGAGGAAGTGGCCTGGAAGAGGGTGGTTGATCCGGAGAAGGCTGTACCACACGCGGCTGAAGCACAAATTTCAAGGAAAAATGAGTAGAGTGGAATGGCTGAGTGAAAAGCAGTTTCTCAGCATCTGCCCATTCCAGGTGAGGTTGCAGGCATTTCTGTAAGCTGGCTGTGGCTTCTTCAGGGACTGGCTTCACCAGGGACAAATGTCTGCTTTTAGAATCTGTGATCATCACTGGCTGATTGGCACGTGTGGCTATTTGGGTTAACTTTTATTATAAAACTAATTCATTTATTGTAACAGTTTTGAAAAATATAGAAAGGTTAAAAAAGAAAATTAAATTTTTCCCATAGTCCTACAAGCAGATAACTACTGTGAACATCTGGTGTAGATTTTTTTTTTTTTTTAATTTTTTTTAAATTTTTTTTTTTAACATTTATTTATTGTGTGTGGGGGGCAGCTCAGCCCACCAGGGGGCGCAGCTGGCTGGCATGTGGTGCTGGGGGATCGAACCGCGGTCTCTGTGCTTTGCCAACCTTGTTCCAAGTAGGTGCTTTAGACCACTGAGCCATCTCTCCAGCCCCTGGTGTAGATATTTTTGGTTATGTTTGTTTATTTAAATTTAGTTTTGTGGTGTGTGTGGTGGTGATGGTCGTGGTGGTGGTACTGGGGTTTGAATCAGAAGCATTGTACCATGTGTTACATCCTTCACCCTTTTTAACTTAATTTACTTATTTATTTTGGCTTTATGAGACAGGGTCTTGTTAGTAGTTGAGATTGAAAATGCCTTGAATTTACTGTGCTATGCCGACCTCACATTCACAGTGATGCTCCTATCTCAGCCTCTTGAATGCTGGAATTATAGGCATGTGCCATCATTCCCACCTTTTATTTTTATTTTGAGATAGGGCTGGCCTCAAACTAGCAATCTTCATGCTTCATCCTCTTTAACTGTCTAGAATTCTAGGTGACACTTTAAACCACTGAGCTATTTGGCTGGCCCACCGGCTGTCATCCTGTGTTCGCTCCCCATTCCCACAGATCCTTCTTGGTGTACACCAGTGTTTTGGGAACACATCTTCAATCTCTCCCTGAGAAAAGAAGCACTAGAAGCACATTTCTTAAATCTTGTTTGTCTAAAAGTACTTTTATTTTACTCTCACATTTAACTGATAATGTGGCTAAGTGTAGAATTCTGGAACTTACAGTGTGTCTATATTTCTAGCTTCCATTATCACTCTTGAGAAGTGTAGAACAGTGCTGATCCTAATTCTATAAATGGTACTTTTTTTTTTTTTTTTTTTTACTCTTTGGAAGCTTCTAGAATTTTTCTTTTACCTTCAGTGTGCTCAAGAATTGTGCTTTTGTATGGTTCTGTGTGTTGGTATTCAGCGAACTTTTTTAGTCTGGAAACTTATGTTTCTTGTAAATTATTTTCTACTTTTCTTTTTTGTTTACTGTTTTCTCTTTTGGGAAATTACGGTTGTTGGTGCTTTGCAAGCCAAAAAAGGGAACAGAGCTGATGACTTGCTGTTTAATATTCCCTCTGCTGAACTGTGGTGCAGAGGCCTTCTATTTTATTTCCTGCATAAAATAAGCCCCTGTCCTTAACAGGGGGTAATAGGTCCCAGCAGCAGTGGGGGTGTGAGGGTATAGGAACCTGACTGCTGCTTAGGTTTCAGCTCACCTTCATGCCCACTTCCAAGGCACCTGTGCCATTAGCTTCTCAATCTTGAGTGTTTTGTCACTTCTAAGGGTAGTGGGTAGTCCATAGGCTTTCCTCTGTTCATTTAGAATTTAGGTTTGCCTGTTTTTATTTTTTTGAGACAAGAGGCTCACTGCATAGTTCAGGCTGGCCTTGAACTCACAGAGATCCTCCTGTTTCAGCCTCCTGAGTGCTGAGACACCGGTGTGTGCCACCATGCCTGGCTTAGAATTGTTTTTTCAGTGCTGATGTATCAGTCAGTCCTTGTCTTTTTTCCACATTTCAAAATGTGATCTGTACTCTTTGCATTATCTTTGTTGCCTGTGAACTTGTGACTTTGGAGAGGCAGGAAGGGTTCAGTCAAATGCACATGTTCAGCATATTACCTGTAACCAGAAGTTCTTAGAACCCTTGTGCATGTTAGAGATTGTAAAAACATAAAGGAACGTGTGTGACAGACCACTGATACTTGGGAAGCAAAGTGTATGTAATATTCAGCTATTTACAGAAAATGTTTGCTGACCATTGAGAGAGACTTTTAGAAATGATATTACTTTGCTGTACAGATTTAATGCAATCCCCATCAAACTACCACCAACATACCTCACAGAGCTAGAGAAATCATTCCTAAAATTTATTTGGAACCAGAAAAGACCTAGCATAGTAAAAGCAATCTTGGGCAATAAAGACAAGGCAGGAGGCATTACAATTCCTGACTTGAAATTATACTACAAGTCTTCTGTGATAAAATCAGCATGGTACGGGCAACAAATAGACCTGAGGATCAATGGAATAGATTAGAAGATGCTGAAGGCCCTACAAACACACTCAGCCACCTTATCTTTGACAAAGGAGCCAAACGTACTCACTGGAAGAAAGATAGCCTCTTTAACAAATGGTGCTGGAAAAACTGGCTCTCTACATGCCGATAACTAAAACTTGA